TCTTTCCCTTCATAGAAAAAGTTAACTTAGACAAGTGTGAAAAAAAAAGACAAGTGTGATAAACAAAAGTACAGAGAGTTTTCTAAACAAGAATCATTTCAATAACAAATAAGAAAAAGTTGTTCTGTAACATTTTACTTAGAATTATAACAAAAAAATTATCATTAATATTCAAAGCCAGCAAAAGTATAATATAATTTGAACAGAAACAAGTTTAGAGAAACATAAATTTTGTTACACCAAGTGCTTTGGGATTTTATAAACCACCATCAAAAGTATCCAAGATATTAAATTACTATTTTTTGCAGCAATATTGATAATGCATGAGTTATAAAGCAAGAAATTATTGTAGGAGCAAAACATGGTCATTTTCTTAATTAATAGCATCATTTTAACTCTGTTTTGAGAGATATTTCCCCAAATTTTGTTGTTCTTAAAACAATATTTTTAAAGGGATCAATGAAAATAAGCCAAGCTGAAAACCAAGTAGTTTTCTATGTAATTTTCCTTAGCATGGTTTAAAAGAGCAGGTATAGAATTTCTTCCTTATCCATAATGAATGCCTGCTTACTTACTTACTTACCTATCATGTTTACTGTTTATTTTTGAACCATGCCTGCTAAAATGTAAACTTCATGATTTTTGTCCATTTTGTTCACTGACGTATCCAAAGTACTTAGAGCAGTATTTATAACTTAGTAATAAATATTTTTAAATAAATAAGTGAATGAGTTGAGTGAAGGATGTCATAATGGCATATGACATATGACACCGAATCTGAGAACTTATCAGCTTCAACTGCATTTCATGCCCCACTTAAGAAAGCAAATACAAATGTAGAATGTGAGACAGTGCTATTAAAAGGAAAATAAAATCATTCAAAACTTTAGGATTTATTATTATCAACATATATTTTACAAGACAGCCTCAAACTATTAAAATAAACTGGTCTAAAAGGCCAATAAGTCAGCAATCTTATGGTTACCCTTCAGCCATGAGAAAATAATTCTCTATGTCGTATTTTCCTCATCTAGAAGATTCACTTTGCAAAAACAATAGGATAACTGAAGGAAGTACATACAGCCTTTGATATGAAAGCCACTCAATCTATTTGTGAATGAATTTATTAGTGAAAGTACTTCAAATTTATTAGTAAAAATATTTCAACATTAACTACATGAGCTAATTTCTGACTAAAATGTATATAGTAGTATTTGCTAAGATTTCTTCTGAGTGGGTTGTTTTCTTTTCAAGTATTCACAAATTCATTCCTGTTTGAGATTCACATACTACCCTTCATTTGCAGAACAGTAAATGGATTGAAATGTGTCAGGTTTCCTTCTGCAAATTTATTTAATTAGCAATACCACTTTTTTAAAGTAATAGGTATTTAAATGATTCATTTCTTTTGGTATTTACAGTGACTCTGGGTTATATTGTTTAATGTCTCTGAAACAAAAAAATATGTAAAAAATACATGTAATTTTTCAAAGTAATTTCTTGAATCTGGAATCTAAAGTACATCATCAGTAGTAAGATCAGGAGCTTTAATGGAGTTATTATGAGGCTTACAAGAATAAAGCATTTACAAGGCTTGGCACATAAGAGGTAATTACCCAAAAAAAGGTAATTCTATTTTAATGCTGACAAAATATGCAGATTAAAAATATGGGTGCTAGAATTGGCAAAGTCTGAACTAGAGTCTTGGTTCTGCTATATTATAGTTAGGTAACCTCACTGAGCCTCAATTTCCTTATCTGTAAAATGGATATATTACATATTACCTCTCCCACCAAATACTGTGAGAGGCTTAAATAAAATAATCTGTGGGAAGCACTTAGCACACCAGTGGCAAACTGTTATTATGTCATGCATATTAATACTGTAACATTATTTTAAGACACAATTATAATATTTTATATAATTTATATACCATATGTTATTATAAGCAGTTTCTAAAATGGCTGTCAATGATCCCTGTGTCCCATATTCGTGCTGTTACGTAATCTCCTCCTCCAAGTGTGGGCCGGACCTAGTGACTTACTTCTTACATACAATAGAATACAGCAAAAATGATAGGATTTCACTTCTGAGATAAGGTTACAAGAGATATAAGCTACCACACGGTGAGCTGCCCTATGAAGAGGCCCATGTGGAAAGGAACTGATTCCTGCCAACAACCACGAGAGTGAACTTGGAAATGGATCCTCCATCAGTCAAGCCTGGACCACACCACTGTAGCTTGGTTCGCATTTTAATTTCAGGTTTTTGAAAGACCCTGAGCCAGAAGATCCAGCTAAGCCATGGCCCAATTCCAGACCAACAGATAATAAATGTTTTTTAAGCCACTTAGTCTTAGGGTAATTTGTTATGCAGCAATAGATAATACACATGTCTAGTTTCCTACTAGGCGGAGTACCTGGTCTTCAATTCATGTATTATTCTGTCTGTCCCCAGCAAGCTGTACAAAGTCTGGGGCACAGAGTAGGCATCCAAGATGCAGGACAGAAATGAATCTTAATTACAGTTCCTTAATATCCTGCTAATATCTCTTACAAATACTATAAAAACTAAACTCAATTTATAGCAAATAAGAGATTTGGAAAAAGTATAATTATTAGTTTTATATTATACCAAAAGTCTGAAAGCATTTCTATTAATGTTTACTAAACAGACTTCCACTTCTAACCATGAAAGAATAACTGGTATTGGATTTGACCTCACATATAAATAACTAGAAAACTCATATATTCTTTGTTTTTTTTTCTTGTTTCTTTACAACCCTTTAAAAATGTAAAATCCATTCTTAGCTCAAGGGCTGTAGCCCAGATCTGCTCATGAGACCAGTCTAATGACTCCAGTCACAGAATAAAGGCTATGCTAACAAGATCCATAACAAAACTTAAAAACAAGCTACAAAAACAAGCTAAAGGTGATCCAAAAGTAAATTAATGCCTATCAAAATAAACTCAACATTCTTTAAAGAAAGACAATAAAATATAGATACTCAACAATATAAAGTTCACACTTTCCAGCAACTACTCAAAACTTACAAAGAACATGGAAAGAGATCATCCGGGGATGCAGGCATCCAAAAACCTGCTAAAGGCTAAGGGTGGACTAGAATACAGAGCAAACACTCCACTCCAAGCCCCAAACCAAGAATAAGGCAGCAGTAG